AAGCATAATGAAATATAAACTAGTAAAATCATATAAATGTCCTTAAGCAATGGTTTAGCTAGGTGATCTTAAGAATTGTAGCTATAATCCAAGAAGATGTGGGTCTACATACCACAAGTGTTACAAAGACTAGTGTTTCATTCAACCATTGCATTATAATACATTAAATAATATTTCACTTCTTCAAACATGATGTGAATTTATTTTCTTTTCTTTCTAATCTTTTTTTAGTATTATTAAAATATCAATATAAAAATTTATTTATTTAGTTATTTATTCACTTATACAAAAAATGGTGTGTGTCTGTTTTTTTGTCCACAGAAATATTTGATTGGCTGAGGTTGTTAGCACCATTCAAAATTTGTGATTAACACTAAACAAAATTAGTGTTTCTAATGTTCTTTGTGTTCCAAGTGTTTCTTGTGTTCTTGGTGCTCACAACACAAGCAGCACTTACAAAATCATTGTTTCTCTGAAGTGGCATTGATAATAAATAGTTCCAACTCTTTATTGGATGTTCAAACTCTCTGCACCAAGTAGTCACAAGTTGTGGATGTTCACACTGTGCATGAATCCCTGAGAGAGTCTAAAACATCACAAATACTACAAATATAGAAAAAATGTGCAAATTATGTTTTCCAGGGATGGAGCTCAAAGTGCAATTGCTTGAAAAGTCAATTATATATATATATATATATATATATATATATATAGTGCATGTATTTATGTATGTATATAGGATAATTTAGACTTTCTATTTTGGAGAATTAATTCATTAGAAGAATAAAATATAAAGCCCTCTTTTTTTAAATGTGATGTTAACAGAATCAATCTCATTTTTTCACCTCTTACCTCATTTTTTGTAAACATATGGGACACTTATTTTGAAGATTGTAATAAAGTAAATAAATAAAACTATTTCAAAATCTTATTACTATTACACATATGAAAAAAATTGTGTGTTAATACTGCTAAACATGATTACATTATATGGCAATACAACATGATTATTGAACAATGTATGGTGCTAGCATATTTGAGTGGACACTCAAAATATGTCTTTAAAAACAATCTGAAATTTTAAAAGTAGCATTGTGATATGCCATAATGTTCATGTAAATTCCTTAGCATACATTGTCTCAAAAACTGTCTGACACAAAGCATGAAACCCAAATTCCTGGTTGAAAAAGGTGCCAAAAGATGCTGTGAAAAAACATGACAAAAACTACCCATCACTTTGTAAACAAAAACTACATGCTTTCTCTCTCTCTACTCCCTGCACGTGATCTTTCCATATATGGAACCTTATTACTCATTAGGACCCTGGAGCAGTTATGAAGCCAGGCAGGAGAAAATGAAGGAGGACCAGGAACAGGAAGCTGTGGGTGCTTCAGCAGCACAAGGGAAACATGCTGGAAAAAACAAAACAAAACCAAAAGAAGGGTATTACAAGGAAATGAGAGTGCAGTGTCAGCCCTTCTGTTTGTCAGCCCTTCCTTCCTCCCTCAGCAGCAGCAACTTATGACTACTTTCATGACTAAGAAAGAGAGAGCAGCAGCAGCAGACAATGTAGCAGACAGCACAGCAACAGAGATGGGGGGCAAAGTAGGGCAAAGCCATGAGGAGAAGATATCCCCTTCATTGTGATGCTGATTCCCTGCTTTTCTTCCTTGCTCCCCCAACTCACTCTCCACCACCCAATGAAGCACTGTTTGCCCTCCTATCCCCCATTGTACATCCTTCTGTATTTATCCACTGTATCCACTGTATTTATCTGGAGGGGGAGAGACAAAATGAGCCACAGACAGAAAGCCCCACAGAAACCCTAAATTCTTCTGGGATCTTTCTTTCTTTGCATTGGAGCATCAAATCTCCCTCTACATATTCCTTGCTCCCCTTGTGTGTGTGCTCTTTTTCAATTTCCATTTAGTTAATACTTTATTAATTTATTTTCTTTGCTGTCCTCTTGAACCTCAGCTTGGCCTCTTCCATGCATGCTGGGTGGATGTTTTCTCTTGTGCCCTGAGAGGGAACACAAAAGGGTTGGTTCCCAACACCCCTATGGGTGGCCCCAAGCAGCCTTCCAATGACATATGGAATAGAATGGAATGAGAGAGAATGGAATGAGACATTTATTCCAATAAAATCCACTCTTTGACTGAGGGGCAGTCCCAAGCTCTTTGAACATCCAGGCCCCATGCCTCCCTCCCCCACCCTCTGCAAGGCTTGCTTTAAGTCAGACCAATTTCTATCACTTTTAATTTATTGATATGGACATGTGTGGGAGTAGTGGCAACACAAGTGGCTGGCCACTATGCAACCTTCATTTTCATAGGATTTTATTATAATGTTTTTAATTTGCCTATCATCCACCCTTTGACATGCCCCCCCCCCAAAACTGTAAAACAACGGTTTGATCACTTTTGCACTCCCAATTGTCATGTGATTCTCTCACATACTTCTTTTTTCTTTTTTCTTTTTTATAAAAAATTTAAGAAAGAAAGAAAGAAAAAAAACAAAAACAAAACCAGACAAACTAACCAACACCCTTATCATTGTAACAGAATTTCCATTGTGATGATAAGCCTTAAAAACTAAACACATTATCACTTAAAAATAAGTTTGATTCATTCCAAATATTTTGCACTTACTTTATCACTGATATTATATACATATACCTTTATTACATATTAACCAAAATAAAATGCAACCTATTTTTTTATTTTTTAAAAATCTTTGGATTTTAGTGTAATTTGATTTAACACTTAAGAAGCATTTAAAAAATGAATAAAACACACTGGAATTTCTTACAAATAACTAATTATATTCCCTTAATCATCTAAAGAAAATATTTAAACTTTAAATAGGTAATTCCTGGAATGCTTTACACTCGTTGTTGTTAAAATTGAAATACCTGTATGTATACATATATATATATATATATATATACACACACACTCACACATTATAGAAGTAAAATTTGAACAGTTCCTTTCATTTTTACATGATGTAAGCAAAGAAGTTATTTTGTTCAAACACAAAAGATTGATCTAATTTATGCATCTTCACCATCATGGTTGTTTGTATGTATGTATGTATGCATGCAAGTATCAAAGACTTGAAACTGCATTGTTTCATCAAACCCTCCAGAAATTTCCATTAATTCCTCCAGATATTTGTTTTATGATGTAAATTTTATTTATATGTTTTTTTAGGAAAAAAACATCAAAGTAACAAAATAATTAGTTTAATATATTTCTTCATTTAATACTCTCATAAAAAAAACTTAAAAAATGTAAAAAAGTAATTGCAAAGACATGTCCGATTTCCTTTGACTTAAAAAAATGTACTTTACCATATTTTAATCCCTATTGCTTGTTTCCCACGAGAGCCCCCTTCACTCAGGACGACTTTTACTTTTCAAAACTTCGAATAAAAAAGCAAAAGATAATAATGAAAAGGTTGAGAGAGGAATGAAAAAGTAAAGAGATGAACGATAACGAGCGAGATATGGACTGTGGCACTTCAGAGGCCAGCTGGCACTGGATCATCAGCTGGCTTATTGCCCTGCTTCTGTTAGCGAATGACGGATTATTGAAACAAATGGATGAATGAATGGATGGGTGCAGATATCTGGGTCCGTCCGTCCGTCACCGTCCTAATACTTTCCTTTCCTGGACGGCACAGAATAATCCTCTCTCTCTCTCTCTGTTCCCATGTGCCATCTGCCAAAGGTGCTCCCTTCTCCTTCCAATTAATGCCATCGTTGAAAAAGGAAAATAAAAACAAACTAACAAACAAACAAACAAGGAAAGGAAGGGTCCCTTTCCTTTTCCCACTAGCTTCGTGATAAGCACCTACAATGGACAAAAAACATGGGAGCTGGAACTGGAACTGGAACGGGATTTTCACATGCTTGCCTGTCTGCTCTGGGTATTTTATAATGCACTCCGAAATCGATAAACCATCTGACAAAAAAGTAAAAGAAAACAGCACTACCATTTCAATAGGTCGCATTAAGTGTTGTTATTTCTGGAGGGAGTCTTGCAATAGAGAGGGATCAATTTGTAGAGGGTGACCCAAGTCCAGGTTAACCACAATTACAGTTTTCTCGTGATGAGGTAAAAGCCTGGTTCGCAGAACTATAGGAAATTTCAGAACCAGACCCCGAGAAGAAAAAAAAGTATCAGACGATGGAAAAAGTTTACGACGGGTAACTCACTGGAAGAGCATCGTCTCAGTTTTTGACGATTCGAGGACTCGGATTTCGTTCGTTCATGAGGAGCTTCGCGCAGTCGTCCAGAATTCGACGGAAGCTCGAGTCGGTCGTTCCGGAGGGCGACGAACGATTCACGACGTCGTACACCGTTTCGTCGAAGAGAGAAATAGAAAAACGAGGTTGAGAGGGAGCGATGGCAATGGCGACAGTAGTCGTAATGGTGGGGGGGTCTATTCAATGCTGGCCCCGTGCCATCCTGTTGCGGCAGACGGACGATGCGTTGAGCTTATCATCAGCGGCATCTTTCCAGCAATATTTTTTGTAGTTTATTGCCGACGGGAACAAAGTACTTCTTCCAGAGAGATGAGGTGAGGGAGGGGTACAAGACGACGGGGGTTTGACATGGCCATAGGGTGAAGAAATTTGTGAGAAGGAACAATGGTTACAACTTGGTTGCACACACAAGGGAGGGGGGGTTGATTTGAGGGAATGGAGAGGTAAAACGTGACGATAGGGATCGTGAAGTGAAAGATCGGAAGTAGATGGAGGTGAAGGGAGAATGAATTGGCTTGGAGCGGTGGGCCACACAGGGCGGCCGAAACTCGGATGTTGCGGTTGGTACTAGGGAGCAGTTACAAGTCATGCTGGTTTAACGCGTGGGACCATCCCAAGGGGGGGAGACTAGACCGTGCCAGGCTTGCTTGTATTCCTGTCTTGGTGCGGTGTGTCCGGAAAGAGATCTGCGCCATTCATTTTGGCTGAGGCGGGGGCCAGCCCGGCCGACGCTTCTCTGATTGCGCCATTTCTTCAGTCACCTTCGTGGTTGCATTTAAACCCCTGTAGCTACCAGTTTTTCTCTTCTTTCCTCGGTGGCGCCTCTGTACCTCCATCTCCCGAGTGGGCAGGGTGCCGTGGTTCTGTACTCGTTTGCTGATCGCGTTGTGCTTTGCGAGGAAGTGCATCTAGTGAAGATCCCGTCGCCTGCCGCTGTTGCTGGCTTCAGATACTGTTCTTTTTCTTTAGTCGATTAGTGTTTCACTGCAATGGAGTTTAAGGGATCGCCGCGGTTGTTGATTGTGTCCGATCTGGACCACACCATGGTCAGTCCTTGCCCTGTGCTCCTGATATTTTGTACCGATATTTGATGGTGGGCTTATGTGCTCGTCGTGGCAATGTGAAAGAATTGAAGGAACTTATTCTTGGAAGAAATATCCTAGAAGTATCCACAGTTGGTGTTCCTGGAAGATGCGAATTCGTAAGAAAATTGTGTTCCCTTACAAATGTGTCGAGTGAAGCTAAGAGTAAATGAAAATTATTCCATCTTTCAGTGGAGACTTGAACATTCCACTTTACAGTGCGAAAGCTTCTTCATAGCTTTTCGAGCACTCTCGATCATCACCAGAGTCTGTTAAAAAAAGAATTTGTTCTCTTCATACGGTTGTATTTAGCGGTATCTTCCTCTCATTTCTCCTCGAGCAAGGTCTTATCGGTGTCATCCTGCCATTTTTTTATCAATACAGAAGTTAGCCGGTTAAATTGCATTGTAAAGACGCACCGTGTATCTGAGAGTAGACTGAGGGGGTGACTTTTCACGTCGAATCGTATTAGATTAAATTCTGAGACTCAATAATAGATTTTTCCCAAACAAGTTATTTGGACATAAAGAACTAGACTAGATACTAATTTTTCATTCACTTGGACAGATTCCCGTCAATGCATTAACCGATTGTTGTATTTTCAGGTGGAACATGGTGATCACGATAACAAGTCTTTGTTGCGCTTTGGCGCACTATGGCAGTCAGAATTCAACCATGACTCTTTACTTGTATATTCCACTGGGAGATCGCCAAAGATGTTCGCCGATTTACGGCGAGAAGTGCCTTTGTTGACAGCAGGAATTGCTATTTTATCTTGCGGAACTGAAATTTTTTACGGAGATACAATGACGAAAGATCACGGTTGGATAGATATCATCAGTAAAGGCTGGAATCGTGCAGCTGTAGAAGAGGTTGCCGAAGAAATGAACCTCAAATACCAGGTGTGGATTCTACTTGTATCTGTGCTATACTAAGTCAGAGGGCCGCACAATTAAGCTAACTTGATGGTTTCATTCTTGAACGTGAGATTTTATTATATTTTATTTTGTCTTACACTTATTTTACTTTCCCTAGTGTTACAGGCACCTGTAACTCGTGTTTTCTGGTGCTTTTGTGTTTTGGTTTTGATAGTGGATTTGCTAATGTAACAGTTCAAATAGATGAACTTGTCTCATATTACATGCACCTTGTCACAATTCGGCAGTGTGATTCAGAGCAAAGGCCGCACAAAGTAAGCTTTCACGTTAGGAAGGAGGAGTCCGTGCACACTATGCCCACACTTCTCGCAAAATTGCTAGAAAAAGGAGTAAGCACTCAACTGATGAATGCAGGTTTTACGACATCCATGTATGTCCTGTTCTTATGCTAAGGGGCCTTGGTGGTGTTGTATCCTTGCTTAAAAAGTTATTAGTCTCGATCATGTAAGAGACTAACTCAGGTTATACTTGTAACGTTTCATAGTCTGTCTTATCTGATTATCTGTATTTTGTTTTTGTCTTAGAAGTACCAGTTGTGATCCGGATCGTTTTTACCATACTGACAAAGAAACTCATTCGCTTCACAGCTGGACATCAAGCTTATATACAGCGGAGGCTTGGATCTGGATGTTCTTCCTCGAGCTGCCGGTAAAGGTCAAGCTCTAAGGTACCTCTTGCAAAAGCTCAAGGCCGAAGGTCGCGTCCCTCAACAAACACTAGTTTGTGGGGATTCTGGAAACGATCAAGAGCTTTTCAGTGTGGATAATGTCTGCGGTGTTATTGTGAGTTCCTCATTATCATAAGCCTGCTTTCAAATGTGTATTCAGCTGATACTGTACATATTTTTTTCCAACAATGGACCCTTCTCGCATGAAAACAGTGTCTGCTTCTTTTTTATTTATTTAAACATATAATCTTATATATTTGGTTTAAGTGGAAGGCCACTAAATCACGATGATTTTCCCAAATTATGGATCAGACCTCTAATTCCCGAGACTCTATTTACATGCTATCTATTTTGGATCGACTTTGTTTTTTCTTACTTTTATTTTCCTTTTTTTGTCGCCATTGTTTTCAATCGGTCTGATGTCATTTGGATATTTCGACTTTTCTTATACGAAATCGAACTTGTTTTCTCTTCGTGGCAGGTGGCAAATGCCAAAGACGAGTTGCTCCAATGGCACGCAGATCAAGTCGGTGACAAATCTCATATTTTCGTTGCAACAGAGAATTGCGCAGCTGGAATTATCGAGGCCATGAAGCATTTTGGTCTTGAGCCAAATGTTTCTCCACGAGATCGCACTGTGCCACTATCAGTACATGACAAACTGGTTCCGAAGGCTGATGCTGGCGCTGCTGCTCGAGAGGTGGTAGAATACCTATTGCTCACTGAGCAGTGGTTGCGTGGTGACATAAGTGCCTCTGAAGAAGTCTTTAGGAGGTTGAAGTTTGGCTTGGTGGGTTGCAGCACTGACATCTTTCTAACTTTTCTGATTTCTTGAAGCATTTAACTTTTGAGCAGCTTAAGAGAACATCGCTTTGCAAATGTGTGTGTGTGTGTTTGTGTGTTTTTTTTGTTTTGTTTTGTTTTTGTTTTTGTTTTTGTTTTTTTTTTTTTAATTTTTTTTTATGCGTTTATTCCGTTCTAGTGATTTTGCATCTACATTGTTATGTGCGAGAACCTTGGTAGAATATTCTGTTCCACGATATGGTATCGATGTGTTCGTTTTGACTCTAACTTGCATGCTTTGCACAGGCGAAGGATTCAAGTAGAGTTTGTGCATGGGGCACAATAGATAGTCCACACAAGGAAATAGAGAACCTTCAGGCTCAGTATGGTTCGCAGAGGGGAAAAGTCTTTCATATGTGGGCGGATCGGGTGCGTTCTATGAAGCTCAGTGACGATTCCTGGTTGGTTAGGTTTGACAAATGGGAAAGATCAGGTGAGACTATGTCCACACCTGTCTTTGAATGCCTAATAGCTGATTGGAGCAACTGCTCTGTGATACTCAGCTTTTTTCATTATCAGCGGTTAGAGTATACTAATGGATCAATGTGACACTTCTGCAGATGCTGGATTGACGTGCGTGCTCACAAGCGCCGTATTACAGTCCAACGTAAGCTTATCTTCATTTAAATCTTCTGTGCAGTAGGGATATCTCAAGGGTATGTCGTTTGAATTCGTATCTGTCGAATCAAAGGCACTTCAACTCCATCTGAATGCTGAATTGACAATAATTCTTCTCCTCGCTCTGAACAGGTGGAATTTCCGAACGGATTGTGTTGGAAACTGATTCATGAAACATGGCTCAAAGGTTATGAAGGGTCTGCTCCTGTTCGAAAGTGACTTGTTATCACTTTCTGCCTGAATATTATTATACAGGCAATTTTATATATCAGATGCTTTTGCGAGCATGTACGCAACCTTATCTCATTGTATTTGCAATCTGTTGTGCGTCCAATACGTTGGATTAGTGACGTCTTGTGGAGATTCGTTGCATAAAATTGTCACTAAGATAAACACGACATTAGTTCTCATCTTCTACCCCTAGTTTAGTAGACGGTTCTGTATCCATTCAGTACCTTGATACCACGATTGATATTATAAGCAAATGATGTAGTCAAAGAAGGGAGATTTTTGGTTGGTGTAGACATGAAGTTGGTGTATGATCACCTCTAAGATAACCTTTTCATTTCAACGATACACAATGTATGTATTTAGCATGAAAGTATTAGTTGCTCTCCAATTTGGGTTCTTCGTTCATTTCTTTTATCTTCTTCATTGTTGTGTATATCACATTTTATAGAAATACTGAAAGGAACAGTAAGGTTTTACTCTTGTCTCTTCTTATTGACACTTACAATGATAGAATTTTGATCTAATTTTGTGATTTCAATTAGTTGGGAGTCTTGATGTCATCTCTCATGTTGGTTTTGATTGCTTTAAGAACACAATCATCGTCGATGTAACTAATCATGATTAGTAACTAATCATGATTAGCAACTAATCACCTGATGTAATATAAAACAGTGCCAAATATGTTCAAAGAATATGCTTACACACACGTGCACATTTTTGAGTGTGTGTATGTACAGCACACATATATGTAAATTTTGTTTAATCATTCAATATTTAAGAACACTATTATTTCTATATATTTTGGTAACTTCTCATTAAAGATAATAAGTTAATATTGATACTTAAAATTTCTTGCTTTAGAAATAATTTTTATTCTGAAATCAAATTATATCAATATTCTGTGAATTTTTTGCTTAGAACTTCCAACACATTCTAAAATATATCAAGTAGAGCCATTTCTTCAATAGTATTAAGAAGATTTTCAAAATAGGTTATTATTCACATTTTGAAGTTATTAATGAAAAAAATAAATATATATATTTTAAAATTATTATACATCAAAGTTACAAAGATTCGAAGTAGTGAAAATGAAGAATTACAATATGGCTCTAAAGGAATATAGTTATAAAAAAAATGCACCCAATTGTTTTGAAAAATAAAAGTAAATGTATTTGGCATGTAAGTAAGATTTACTCTAGAATTACAAATTGTATACATCCAATCTTTTAAAACATCATTCAAAACAAGGTACATATTTCAGAAGCTTTATTAAAATAAAAAATAGTATAATATATATATTTTTTATAGAATGTGTTATGAATATCTGTATGTTGTTAAAAATGCACATAAAATTTGATGGTTAAGTAAATGTTCATACAAGAATTATAGATATTATATTAAATTTTTATCTATAAATTTCAATATAAAAAATAATTTATTTTTATTCAAATAATAAGTTTCAAACATAAAATGCAATTCCTAAATATGATAAATATTTGATTTTAAGAACTTTGATAAAAACATATCAATACTAAAACAATCAGAAAGTTGTACACACAATTGCTCAATGAAAAAAATATATATCATGTTTTTGTATGTGCAAAAAATCCTCATATAAGTGTGATGTATTGAAATTATTTTTTATAAAATAATTCTTATTCCATCATATTTTTCACATATTATAAAGAACTAATTAAATGTAATTTGGCTTTGTTCTTCTATCACTTCATTTGGATTTCCATTAAAATAAAAAGATGCTATGTATTGATTTAAAATGTGAACTTGTAGTTGTTGACATTCTTATCTTCTATCATACAACTTAAAATTTTAAAAATTCTAAAGTATTTTTAATAATCAAATATAGCAATCATCTAAGTATTATTTGGTTTCATCAAAAGTTCTTTTATTTCCTTCTTGCTCAAGATTTGAGAAAGAAAAAGTTGCATAGTTATGTTCTTTATGAACATATTTTTGAAGATATTCTATAGCCTTTATTGTAGACCACACCTTAATATAAATGTGTTAGTCAAATATTTGGCAAAAAAATAAAGCCATAAAATATTGTTTATCAATTTTTTAAAACACTTTCAAAGTAATTAGTCATTGCAAATACCATGTAAAGGTAGTAAAAATATACAATTTTCTATGCACACAAATTATATTCACAGCCTCTTAGTTGCATCAGTGCATATACTTACCATTTGTGTAAATAAACAAAAGAAGTCAAAAATGATATGTCCTCTTGCATGAGCAAAATTTCTATTAATTTGTAAGTGGTTAACCAACCTTTGGTATAAATTAGCATATGGTACATTAAGATCAACAAGAAAAATTACGAGCTTATTAGCATATTTTTAAAAATTATCCTACATTAATGAATTTAACTATCTTCAAGTCTACTAAAATATAAAAAAAATAATACATAATCTATCATGCTTATCTTTATTCTTTTCTAAGTGACTACTTTCTACCTTTTTATTTTTATTTTTATTCTTTTCAATTTCTAGTGTTATCTGTTTCTATGATTTCAAGTCTTTTATATGATTAGATTCTATCTATATTTTTTTTATCTAGAAAAATAATAAAATATACATTACAAGATCATATGCATCATGTGTTTGAATAAATCAGGGTTACTTCTACCTGACAACAATCTTGCCTTCAAATGCATTTAAAGGTTATTCAGTAGTATCAATGGACATTATAAATAACATATTAATAACTTCTATTTTGTATGATTAAATTTATGCATTTGCATCTTTGGAGATAAAATAGAATTTAGCTTTGAAAAATATGCACAAGGATGTTTATACTTTCTTTGTACAAGGAATCGTCTAGCATTATATTGAAAATTTATTACCAATTCACAATAAGTTTCTTGTATTTAGTCAAATTTATCTTTACATAGAATGAATGAATGAATGGAGAAATAATCGACAACATCAACAACAATGCCTCTAAAACGGGGAAGAATCAGCAACACATTCTCAAAAGATAAGAAGAGAAGAGAAGGAGAAGTACCTTCACTCCATATATATATATATATATAATGGCACAACTTTATTGACACAAATAGATAGCACAATATTTAATATTTCATTGCTAATGCGGGAGTATAGCTAAAAATTAGTAATAAAATGACCCAGTTATAGTGGATTAACATGAAGTGGCTAAGAAAGAAAGATTGGGTGATGTGGTACCCACCTTAGCTCATTCATGATGAAAGAGACCCACAAACAAAACAAAACCCCCTCAAGAGACTATATTACTTTTTTCTACTACTAAATTCTCTACTAATTTATTAATAATTGGATGGATGAACCTAAACACTCCACAATTAAGAATTACTTGGTGGATTTAAATAAAATCTTGTTTATTGGAATTTAATTTGTTTCTATTTGGACTAAACTTGTGCTCTTATTGCTCCTTGCATGTAATTTAGAAAGAAAACAAGCAGTGAGCCATTTTGAGCATTCATAATTGTAAATAGGCTAATCTTACTTTCTTAATATAATATCTATTTAAATTTTAAAATGATGTTTTATTCCTATTATATATTTTTAAAAATAATTAAAATTTTAATTTATTACAAATCTAAAAAAACATTCAAAATTATTAATAATCATACATACTACTTTGTGAAAATTGCGATGGAATCAATTTTCAATGTTAATATTAGAATTGGAAGTAATTATAAATTTAAAAATTTTGCTTCCTATTCCTTGTCTTCTTACATACATCAATGTAGTTCACAATAACAAATCAACTCTGCTAATTTACAACCATTGTTTGTGTTTACCAATTGTCTTGCTTTGCAAGCATAAGCAAGTTCAGTTTCTCATTAGTTTTTGATTTTAATTTTTTTTTTTGCATAACTCTGATACTACTTCATTTCTTATTATTATTATTATTATTATTATTATATGTATTTGAAGCTTTGAGTGAATTATAATGCACATTGTTATAGATGTAATCCAAGGACGATATATAATCTATTGCACTCACATACATTTGTTTTAAGAGTGGTACTCTGTATGCACTTCCAATTTTTTATTGTCAGAAACAAAAACATTGACATATATTTTAAAAAAAAATTAAGAATTTAAAAAAAAACTCTTGCAAGAAAAAAATTGCAAAATACACAAATTTCTTTTACAAGATTACACAAATCCTTCTAAATTATAAAACTATACTTTTTTATTTTTTTATTAAAAGCTATTTACATGAATGTAAGTCCATATATAATTTTTCTATTTTTGATATTGAAGTAAAAATAAAATTTTAATTTCTTTTTATTAATTTATACAATTTGATTATTGATTTTTATCTTCTCTTTTTTCTTAATTTTCTTTTTCTTTCTTTGTTATAAAATAATAATTTTTATCTCAATTTTTCTTCAAAAAGACAAGTATTTGGAATTAATTATTATGGATGGTATATTTTATAAAAAGTATATCGTAAACACACATATAAATATATATATATATATATATATAACAATGCCACATCCAAATCATTGATTTTCTTTAATACATATTACTATGCAAGTCAACAGCCATTTGATCTTTTCTTATATTGTAGTGTGCTACACATACCACAACAAATTTTTCTTGTACAAAGGACCAAAATTTTAAAATAGAACACTATTTGTTTCAGTCAGCCAAATCAATAATTTTAGAGATCATCTTCAATATAATTGTAATTTTGTGAGTTTTATGCATGTGACATTTTTTTGTTGATGCTAAATTGATGCTAAATTGATGCTAAATTGTTTTAGCACTATAAAATCTAAAGAATTTTGCTAATCTTTAAGAATTTATCTTATATCCTCTTATTGATTTTTTTCTATTAAACTAAACTTGGCTTCCATTCATGCTACAAAGAAAAAAACTTATTGGTCAAAAAAAATCTTTTCACACCTCAACTCCAATTAAATACTTCATATTAGAGGGCAAATAACGTGAAACAGTTATTTATTTTTTTTTTAATTTTTTTTTTCTCTCTCCAAAAATTCTTAATCTTATGAAATATAAACTTTCATTTTTCTAAAACAGCATACATTGGACCAAGATTAGGAATGTTTCATAAAAATTATCTTTTGTGTGTTTTAAATGCTATTACATACTTCAAATACTTTAAAATCATTACAAAAATATAATCAAGATCTACATTGGTATTTGGAAATTATTCTTTTTAAGCTTTAAATACAGATGGATGTGTGTGTATATATATATATATATATATATATATATATGATATGTTAAAAAAACACAGTTTATTATAGATAAATAATTCAGTAAATAAGTTATCTTCCAAAAATTATAATTTTATTTTTTGAATAGAAATAAATCAAGGATACTTAAAATTTGTCAAAATTTGTTAATGTTTGACATATTACCATAATATTTGTAAAGATTTCTAAATTCTTCTGTAGAATAGTTTTAGAATTCTTGCTTTCATAAAATTATTCTAAAGAACTGATTAAAGTATTAAAATTTGTGGGAAACCAATTTTCAAGTTAAGTTTTATTTTAATATTAATATTTTAATAACATTCAAATAAAAAAAAAACAAACCTGCTTAATAATATTAAAAAAAATTTGAGATTAAGATTATAAATAAACTCAATGCAGTTCTTTAAACTTAACATTAAATTTGAAACATATAAATGTTTTTAATTCGGTTCTTAATATATATATATAGAATAAATATATATATATAGAATAAATATATATATATAGAATAAATAAATATATATATAGAATAAATATATATATATATATATATATATATATATATTTAAAAAAACTAAGTTATAAGCAAAATAATCCAAAAGTTTTGCTAGAAAGTATCAACAATAGTTGGAGTGTTTTCATTTGTTACACCCTAATTTATACACAGAATATTATATGTAAAAGCTTATTTTAAAAATATATATCTATATTAACTTTTGAACTATGTAAGAAAAATTATGAAAAGAATTTTGATTATTCTTGATAAGTAATTGCAAGTTTACAATCCATTGAATGGATTTATGATATAAGAGAATTTCTGGGTTTTTATATGTATGAATATATATTGAGTATTTGGATCAACAGAGTTCATAAATATTGAATAATCATAATTTTAAATACATACATACATATTTCTGATATATTGTGAAAAAAAATTAAAACATAAAAACAGTAATAAGAATAAACCATCACTCATTTTTCATTCTTTGTATGATTCTCAAAAGTTTTTTCATCAGCCTATTCGCCTCCTTTAATAACACTGGTATTTTTTTCAAAATATAAATAAATAAATGATGACAATCCACTCTCTGCATATAAAATTTTGAGTTCATTTTTTAAATTTATTTTGTATAAACTCTATATTTGTATTTTTGTACTTTTGCATTTTTCTGTACACATGATTAATTTAGAGTCTACAAATGTATAATTTTGTCTTTAACATGATGATGTTATTGTTGGGTGTAACATCAGTATGACTTCTTTTCACATGAAATCAAAGAGTGGAGATTTTGATAACCTGTAAAAAATTAGTATGAATCCATCAATTCATTTTGAATGTTGAATATCCCTGAATAATTTGATGGTATCCTAAATATTCCTAATATTGTTTTTGAATCAGGATCACATATAACTACTTAAATGTTTTGTCACCTAAGCATCAAAATCTTTTTTATTTTTATTCATTTTTAAGTTTTCAAAAAAAAGAGAAGATAAAGTAACCATCATGTATGTATGTATGTATGTACATATGTATATAATACTTAATTAGTATCACTGTCAAATTCATTGTTTTTCTAGAAAATAACGTTACTTTTTTTCAGATAATTTATTATAAATTTGTTTTGTAGCAAAACAAATTTTGATAGAACTGATTCAAGACAATTATAAAATTCATGAAATCATAAATTTTCATGAAAATTGTAAAACTAGACGTATACATTACCTTCAAAAAATTTTAAAAAAACCTAAGTTGTTTGATAGAATTAATCGAAGAAAAAATAAAAAATCATGAAACACAAATGTGCAGATTTATTGAAAAATTTCATTACTGAATGATAATTTTTAATCTTACTCCATCGAATTCTTTTATATTATTCATTTAGGAACCATGGATTGTGAATTCGTGATGACAAAAGAATCTATGAAGAAACTATGTCGAGAGCTAAAACTGTAAATTAATAAAAACATTTATAATCCTGCTACAATGACTATTTTTATGTGTTGTCATATATACACTTAAAAAAAATTATCATGTAGTTTTAATAACATCAAACATATGAATTATTAAAAAAAGATTGTCACAAAATTTTCAATTTTTCTTAAATATATAATTCATGCCAAATATTTTAAAAATAAAGTTCAATAATCAAGAAGGTAAACATCTCTTTATGGTTCTTACTTCTACTGAAATTGAATGTTGTAACAAAAGAAAGAAAACAGTAGAAACCCACTTGATTTAACTATTAAACTACATGATTTATAATGTCTTGCATATACTTCTTAAATTGTAGGTATTCAAATTGTCCAGAACTCAATGATGTAATTCATTTACACCAAAAGGTATGTATTCTTTGTAGTATTATTTAATTATGCAATGTTGATACCATAATACTTTTTCCAAATTCATCACATTCATACTAATAAACTCGATATAAATGAGAATGTAAAACCCACAACATAGTCAATCAAAGTAATACATCTAACAATTATTAAATTCAACACGAACAAATGCAAACTTTATTTTTTTTCTTTTCTTTTTTTCATTGTAGGGAATTAGAAAAATCCAAGCATTAGAAGAATACATCGGATTACGTACCATTTATTTTGAGTGTAATGGTATAGTTAGAATGCGTTTTAAAGCTCAAACATCACATTCAAATATAAAGAGCGTTGTTATGTAGAAATCTATTATTTTTAATTTTTTTAAATTTTGTATGTCCACAAATTATTTACAATATTGTTGTTGATGTTGTTGTAGCTATATCCAAATTGGAGGGTTTGGCACCTCTGATAAATCTTCAATGTTTATATTTAAATCAGGTTATCTTATTTGAGTATTTCTAAATATCATAAAATAATACGATTCACTATATTTGTTTTTCCTTGTTTGTTGAATAAACTTATCATTAATTTTCACAAACAATAAGTAAAGCACAAATTTTTGATGCAGAATTGTATAAGTCAAATTGAAGGTTTGGAAACTCTACAGCAATTGGAAATTCTTGATTTGGCTGACAATCAAGTAAATCAAAATTTAGAAATAATTTTCGTATTGATGTTAATTTTTGTTCCCTTCATTTGTAAAATTTGATCTAAAAACCCACATGTCAACACAAAATTTACAACCATTAATTCAAAATACATTAAAACTAAAATACTATAGTGTATACCTATGAAAAGTAAATGAATTTAAAAAAAAAATTAAAATTAAAAAACTAAATGGTGTATAAAAGATCACAAAACATTTTTTTCTTATTTATCAGATCAAAAAAGTGACGGGACTAAGCTGTTTGCCATGTTTAAGACAACTTAACTTATCAGGAAATTTCATATGCCACGAAAGTGATGTTATCCACTTATTGGTAAAGAAATTTTAAAGATATAAAATGTTTAATTTCATTTTTCATTTTTATTTATATTGTACTTATCCATCAATAAAATATAATTTTAATTATTTATCATATACATTAATCAATGTGTAGGATTGCAAGAGTTTGAAATCACTGGATGTATCAAACAATAGAATTGACAATGAAAAAGCATTAGAGGTATTTTATTTTATTTTACATATATATATATATATATATATGTATATATTCCCTTTTTAAAATCATTTCCTTAAAGAATTTCAATTTTTATTTTGGTAGATTCACTTAAAATTTAACCAGAAAGTCACAAGATTCTTCCTTTCCTTTTCATCAAAAATTTATATAAAGCTCATTTCTTTCAGAAATATTAAAAACATCAATAGAATATAATAATAATTTGAACGATTGTAACAAAACAGGCTCTTAGATCCATTCCATTGAATTTGCTACGATTAATGAGCAATAAAATTCTTTCTATTACTTGTAATTATCGAAAAATGACTGTAGCAACAATGTCAACGGTAGCACATTCCGACTAATGATTTCGTATGCTTTACTTCAATTGTTTTGAATGCTTATTATATATCCTTTTTTAAAAGTACATATATATATATATATATATATATAGAAATAAATCATCATGAAGTATTATTAATGTTTTAAGTGATAAAATATTCACTGATTACAAGTGTATCTCCAGTTAGTTTATTTAGATGAAAGTCCAATATTTGAAAATGAAAGACGACTTGCCATGGCATGGATGGTTGGAGGCATAGATGTAAATTATATACACACACACACACACACACACACATATATATATATATATATATATACATATATATATATATATATATGTATTTAAACTTAAAATTTTAATGGGATTTTATTTTGTTTTATTGGATTTGTGATTTGATTTTTGATTTTTTATTCTTTTTTCTTTTTTCTTTTTCTTGAGAAAATATTATGGTATTTAAGATACATTGAGAAAGAATGAAATTTTCTAGGCCGAGAGGAATATGAGACTTACCATAGCCAATGAAGAAGCTGCAACTCGTGATCATCATCGCAAAGGTACAACAAATAATAAAATTTTGATAATAAAAAATAAGGATCACAAGAGATTCTAAAAAAATACAAAAAAACAAAAAAAATATATATATATTCTACAAAAACTATGTAATTATATTCAAAGTTGATATACATGCATACATACATACATACATACATACATACATACTGTTTCATATAAGCAACAATTTATTATAACTTGGGGTGGTTGTTTTCCATGTTTATTTTTCTTTTCATGAATTTTTTATTCAGAATTTGAGGATATTAAAATAAAAGCTAAAAGAGAACTAGCAGAAAAATATTTATAGAGAAAAAAAAATTCCCACAAGTTGAAAGATTGGAATTAGAAGTAGAAATCAAATCTTGACAATGAAGTAAAATGTAAAACAAAATTCTAGTCTTCAGTTATCTTTGATAAAATGAGACAATGTGAAAGGAAAATTATGAACCAAAAAGAATTTGACGAACGGAATCTCAAAGGGATCGTCATATCAATTAAGTTATAAATATTTTTAGAACTATCACAATAATTACTCACTTGATAGATACAAGCAAGAGTTTAATAGTTTTTGGTGAAATCATGATAATTGTAAATATCTTTAAGAAATTCATGAATCAATCACTGAGTGTTTTTAGAAAAAAAAAAGAAAAAAAGAATTGATTACCAGATTTCACTAATACAAAAAAAGTGTACCAACTTATGTACATTGTATTGAATTGATATAATAAAATTCATATAGCATTTCCTGCATTTGTTTTAACATTCAAATAGGTATGGGGCCATAGGACACCCTTTTTTTCACTCTTCTCTAAATTTTGAGTTTATTTCAAAGCATATTAATTAATAATTATTTGGATTTTTATTCTATAAAATATGTATTTTTTAGATTTATAAAATGAGAATTTAATATCTAACACTTCCATTTTTTATAATAAAATCCCAATTATCACGATTGTAAGTTTTGAAAAAAATTAGTTTAACAAAAATATTTTTTTTTGAAAGTAAAGATATTTAGATTACTATATAGATAAGTATCAAATTATTTAGAATATGTCTAAAAGAAAATATTTAATCTTATTATTTAAGATTAGACAAAATCAATTGTGTACTTATGCATAATGCCTTTGAGGAAATAATAATAATAATAATATAATGGATCAATAATTGTCTATGAGTTATTTGTTATATTTTTTGAACTTTTATATGATAAATTTACATAGTAAAAATTGAGAGAATATTTTTCTCTTTGTTGAATCCTCAATAAGTTAAGCATAAATAAATTTAATGATATTCCGAAAAATCTCAAAGAATTGGATACCATCTCCATTAAGTCTTAGAACATAATCTTTGGCTAATGTTTTCAAGGCAATTTTACATTCTTCTAAAGTTAAAAGTTCTACCAATAAAATCTTAGATTTATTATTTATATTTTGAGGATGAAAAATAATTGTAAAAGTAAGTTTATTTATTTATTTAACTTTTAGTCTAGTCATGCATGATTATCTATTCTTCTTACATTGTCTTTTTATATATATATATCTATAATACTATCTATAAAATCTAATAGCCTTTTATACTTTTTTGTGGATGATTTTTGGTTTTTTTTTTTAGTTTTTTTTTTCTAAATATATTTAATAGTTATTTGTACCAATTTTTTTCCTAAACAACAAGGATTTAGTTTGTAACCAGCAAAGAGTCTACTTAAGGAGGTAAGTCGTATAACAAAACTACTTACAAAGTGGTCAAACAATCAAATGTATTTTTTATCATACATTTTAGTATATGCAATTGGTAAAAATTAATATAAAAGGCAATACAAAATCTATCTAAATATACATTGATACAAATACCAATACTTTTGGTATTCTAAGAAAATTTTATATTATTAATTGAGAAAAAACAATCAATTAGATCTGGTTATCTTTTAAGTCAATTCTAAGCTACTTATTTTGTAATATATATATATATATATATCCTTAATAAAATATGATAATTTATTTTCAATTATTTTAATCACATTCTAATCTCTAGCTAATTTTCATCTAATATTGTTTGCTAATAAAGATTGTAAATCTTTTTAAAGATAGATTTTTTTTTGTGTTTTAATAGAAGCATATACATTTATGATTTCTATTATATATATATATATATATATATATATATATATTATCTATAGAAATTTAAAGAGTCTTGTTTTAAATAATAATCTAAAAATAATAATATATTTATTAGTCATACTTTTTAGAGTGCATATATATATATATATATATATATATATATTAGATAATAGTAATCTAATACAACTTCTAATATATAACAATTTTTTATCATACATAAATAAAAAATCAAGTTGTCTTGCATTTATTCCACCCAGTTTATATATTTATAAAATAAAGAGTAAAATAATTATAGATAATTTTTTTTAGATAGAGTTAGTTTAAAAGAATTTTTAAATTTTTGGCAATTAAAAGATATAATTTATAATTTTACAAAAATAAATAATTTTTTGGAAGAATTTATGACATGATATTATCTTTTGAAAAACATGTAAAGAATAATTTAATTCTAAATTTGTGGTTGCCTCTTAGAAGAAGTATCTTTATATTTGGCTTCTTTGTTTTCTTCTTTTTTACTTTTTTATTGTGTCGTAAACTTGGACTTTATAAAGGTACTATTAAGTCTAAGTGCAAAACAAATTCCATTGCATATAATTGCCTTGGCTTTTGTTGTAGTATATTAACCCTAATTCTAATCCAAATTTCTAAATTAAGTTTCAATTCTAATCCTATACACTTAAAAACTCCAATAATCAACTAAAAAGAACTTGGAATGCTTAGATTGATGTATTTTAAGATCAAATAAATAACAACACAAGAACAAAAAGAAAAAGAAAAAAACCTTACCAAGATCAATGCAAGTAAAGAAGTGCTAGTTGATATAACACTACTTTTGAAAGAAAGCTTATGCATTATAATAAGTAGTATAACTAAGAGTAATGCAATTATCCTACTTATAATAATAAGCATCATCTCTCAATAAACTATTGTTTTGCTTATTTATTGTTTATTGCAACGGAGAGAGACACACAAACAAACGTTACAAACGGCGGAGACTCTCTTTACATGTCGTCGCAATGCTGCTGCTGCTGCTGCTGCGATGAAGCCTTTGCGCTCTCTGTGTGATGTCCGTGCTCCGTGCAACATCAAGACGTGTCCATTTGCAGCAGCTGCGCTTTGCTCTACGTGTGGTGTGTTGTAGTCGTTGATAGTGAGAGGGTCCGTGAATGTTGGCTTCGATACTATACTCATGCACTCTGGAAAATTCGTGCTGTGTTGCTGACTTGATTGAGTGTATTCCGATTCTTTACTCTTTCAGCATTATAACGCTGTGTCTCTTTCATCCTCACTCTTGATCTGTGATCCTTCACATTATGGTGTAGGAGTGAAACCATGCGGAACATAACCAATGATTTTGCAATCGAGTTCAATCGCGAAGCAGGAAAACTGCGTATCTTGCAGAGCGGGTTTTATGAAGAGGAATTTCACTTCTGTAAGAATCACGCAAGCTCAAAACCTTGTAACAGTGAAACAGCATGTTCTCGCATGAGACCTGATTAGGTCTACAGAATGCTCTTGTTGCGTGTCCTCGAGATTTGTGTCATTAGAGGTAAACGTTTCTCCAACTTGTCGGCAAATATGACCTCTTCTTTTTCTGTTTCGTATTTCTATATCTTTTACTTGATGTTGAGCTTCGATTCCGTTGATTGAGAAATACTGGCAGCTGTGTTTTAATACTGTAGGCAACTGTTTCGATAAATGACAGGAAACAGTAAAATCTCCTTCACGTCCAATTGCATTGCACCGATCGTAGGTCTTCAATATCTGCAAGCTATGGAAACACACACTGAGCCATGGCATCTTTGCTTAGCTATTTTAAGAACTCTGCAAATGGGATCAAGGGGAAGGGTCATGCACATGGGATCTGCAGTGGAAATAACTATGGTAGCGACGATTCCTGCAGCCTCGCAATCAATGTAAGCGTCGATCTCATCCACTGACGGAATGTTCCAACCTGTTAAAATAGTAGAGGAGGCTGCGGCAGACGCCATCTTGTTCCACAGACATTAGATGCTTCAAGCACTGAGGACAAGATACTTCGAGCAACAAATCATTGTAGCGAGCACCATCATCATTATCGTTGTTACGGGTTTATGATTCGTTGTGGAAACTACGATTCCTCTACATGAAGATGACATAACGAGACAACATGAAGATGACATCCTCTCTATGTGTTAACCTTAATTTCTTTGTGCAATAGAAGCCAAATAAACATTGTTTCTTTGCAAGTACAAGGTTTAAACTACATGTCATAGTGATACTTTATTATTGGCCATGTATTAGTCTAAGATTTTTTTTATCCACAAATTCTCTTAAATATTAATGCATATTTATTTATTTAGTATAGAATTTAAAAAATAATATTTTATTTAAAGTTTAGAAAGTAGATATGTATTTTGGAGCTTATTATATTGCTAATATTCTTGTTTTGAGTATTAAAATTTTGAAATATGTATACATATATTTAAGTTTTACATATACTTATATTTTAAAAAAATAAGAAAATAAATTATTTCTGAGGTTTTTTTTTGATATTATAAATAACATGCATTATAAACCAATTTTAAATCCAAAGCTTGTCCATATATTTTGTTATATTATTATACTAATAAATGAATGAATATTTATTTATTTGAAAAGATTAAAGTCATAGCAAGAAATATGTCTCTCCATATTTGCATTGCAATCTACTTTCACCACTTAAGTCCCTCATGATCACTTTCTTAGGATACTTTGGATTTTCTCTAAATTTAGGATGAGGAAGTGACCTATGAATGAATAATAATGACCACAACTCAAACCAAGATTTCAAAGTCTTTTCACAAAATTAATTTTTGTAGGAAGAGATGTTCTCTAACTATTTCATATACGTTCTGCTAACCTTGTATATTCTCTGATTTTATTTTATTTTATTTTTTGATCCAGATTCCATCTATATTGCTCCTAGCTCTGCGTTTGGTAGTAATAAATGTATGGTTATTTATGGATGGCAAAGAATTTCTCATCGTATGACTTCATTGATTTCAACACACTATTCATTGCATGGTATTCTGTTTTGAAGTTGGGTTGTTCTCTAAACTAAAAAGATGAGGGAATGTGATCTCGTTGGATTCCATACTAGTGTTGTTTAGAAAGGGAGAATGGATTCTCTCTACCCCATCGATGTTGATGACAAATGATTCATGGCGAGGAGATCGAGAGAAGGATTACGTAGAACCTGGATGACAAGTTGCCTCTCAGGACCTGTTCTGAAGCTGACCGCTGACCATTGATTTGTGTCGGAACTTAGCCGCGCGCAATAATGAAACTCAGGCCGGTTTCTGTTCAATGGATTCGTGGTTATCACCAGTTGAATAGTCAGCTCATTACTAGACATTTCATATCAATTACATGGTTCGGCTTCATGAATACCGTCTGTTATCTTGAAAAAGATCAATCTCAAAAGAATGCGTTCGAAAACATCCTGAGTATGTCTCCAACAACTAGCAGCATGGGAGCCGACCAGATATGAGGAGTTTTCGTGAACGGATAGTTCGTTAGGTGAGAGGCGTTGACAATTTCATGAGAATAAAATTTCCTTTCAATCATTGACGATTTGTCACTCATTCCGTCTCTGGTACGTATAAGGAATGTGTACGCGCACACTTATTCCTTGCTCT